CTCACCAACCGTCCTCGATCATCCTCACATCCAATCAAGGATGACTCACCCACTTCAACAACTGACACCTGTAGAGACATATGCAGAGTCAACTGCCTGCCTAGACTAGGCCACGGTTACCTTCATGCCATTCTAATCTGTTATAAAAGGGATCTGCACTGCATAAGGTAACTGCTTCTGCTTTTCATGCAACTCTGAACAATTCCTATCACTACATTTCCGCACTCAATTTCAAATGCTGACTTGATTGTCTGAGGAACAAACGAAGAACTCAACTCCAACCTCTCACAAATTCTTCATGTGCAGGGAAGAACATCGATCTACAAAGCCAGTCATCTGAAGGAGTTTGAGGACCCTAATCTAACACTAATCCCTAACTAAATCCGCTGTTCGATAACTGACATCGATATTTTCAAACTCAAAATACATAACGAGACTGCATAACTATATCCTACAGAATGTATAAGTACATACCATAGGGTGCATATGTATATATTTTATGGCGTGTAACTAAATACTCTATTTTATGTAGCTATACACTTTGCAATCGGCTAAATACTCATATTGATATTTTAATTTCACCCCATTTACCAAGAAGGTATTTTAATTAGACAAACCTGCTTTAAGGCATTTTAATTGATTTAACTTACCAACAAGGCTATTTTTCTTGTCGGCGACCAGTTTTTCGGTGAGAGTTCGTCACGTGTGTGAGAAACACTGATATTTGTAAATGGGGTGGAATTAAAATACCAATATGGTATTTAGCCCTTTGCAATCTATTATTGGGCTTAAATGTAAGCAAACTTTGTAGTTTGGGTGCATGAGAAACACTGATATTTGTACTAGTGTAAATTAAAAGTAAACGACTTTTTTCCTATTTAAAAACAAAATTTTTATATTAAAAAGTATCCCTATAGATATTTTTTACATGAAAAGGCCAAAACCTTTTTCAAACCAAGCGGGGGCCCACACGGTCACCGACCCTGACCTTAGGGCCCTAAAACGACAACAAACCCCAACGGAAACCCAATGGCATGACCGTAATTTCCGCCACGTCCTCGCGCGCGTGCCTCCCCTCCATCTTCGCGCGCTCGATCCGAATTCTCTCTCCAATTTCCGTTTCAAAAATTACCAAACATAAAAAAGATCCTCTTTCCTCAATAATAATAATCATCATCATCATTTAAAAAAAATCGAAATAATATCGAGTTTTGATGGACGGCAACGAGCCCGACTCGATCTAGGGTTAGGGTTTTCATGGGATGCGGCGCCTCCAAGATCGACGACACACCTTTGATCGTTCTCTGCAGAGAGAGGAGATCCCTCATCCGAGACGGCCGCCGACCGCCGCTTCCATTCTCGCCGCCGGCCACGTCTGACTTACGTCCGATCATGCGCGGAGTCGGCGAGAGCGATTACAGAGGTTCGTCCAAGAGGAGCTCGTGGGTCCCCGTCAGCGCCGGTTCGTCTCCGGTGATAAACTCCGCCGGTGCCCAGGCGAGAGAGCAAGTCTAATTCCGACTCGTCGGCTACTCCTCTATCTCACTCTCTGTCGCTTGATGACGATGGATCGCATCTCCACCTCTCATCGGAGTCGGGATCGGAGAAATCTTTGAAAAGTTCGCCTCAAATTAGCCCTAATTCGAATTTTATGAGGTCGTCTACTGCTATCCCGACGACGATTTATCAAAACCCTAGCGATTGGGGTTATCCGTACAATTATCCGATCGGATCCTCCGCCGCCGCCGGCTGCTGAAGGGGGATCTGCTTGGGATTTCTTTAATCCTTTCAATTCGTATGAGCAAGGGAAGTACTCTGGTTATTATGGGGTCAGCTCGGCGTCAAGCAGTACTAATTCAAGTGAGGTGAGAAAGAGGGAAGGGATTCCTGATCTCGAGGATGAAACACAGCAGGACACATTGGAGAAAGGGAAGAAAGTGATGGATTTTGGCGAAGGAACTTCGAGATCGGTGCCAGAGGAGGACATTGAAAAGAGCATTGATTCGGAACACGAGAAAGAGAGTATAAGCATAAGTGGGGGTAGTAAAGAGAGCAGCATTAAGGAGAACGAAGGGCAGGCAAAGGATGAAGGGGTGACTTTGGAGGAGGAGAGTCGGGCGAGCAATGTTAACTTGGCGGCCGCTAATGGGAATAGGGACATTATGGAAGTAGTGATAGAAATCAAGAAATTGTTTCAATCAGCAGCTGATTGTGGTGAAGAAGTTTCGAGGATGCTAGAGGTGGGAAAGTTGAATTATAGATCGAGGAGTAGAATTTCTAGAGGTGCGCATGCCCTCATTTCTTTCCTCATTATTTTGCTTTTATTCAAAACCAGTTATTTTCTTTTTTCCTATGTTGATAGGTATAGATTCTAAGTAACCGTTGAGGTTTTTTTGCCTGTCATCTCACCAAATTGATACAACCAAATATGCTAAGGTTTCAAAGAATTTTAGGAGTCTTACCATTCAATTTTGAAGGTTGTCTATTTAGCTCTGAAACTCGATTCACTGTTAATACATTGCTTCTTTAGATTTAGAAGGATGCAATGACGTCACCTTCGTGTTACTATTATACTTTTTAGGTTCTTTACATGTTGTGGCTTTTGGTGATCATTCATGTGCTCTCTAATTCTGGTGAACTGGATTTTATCATGCTAAGTGGTCCAGAAAGTAGAGGATCGTGTTCTTTAATTTTATCCTACCAAGTTTTCCCAACCTCCGACATCTATTTCTAGCCTCACACTTCTATCTACATATGTGATAGGAACTGTTATGTATTTATTTATTTTTTGAGGTTCTAATATGAAATGCAAGGTTTCCTGCCAGCCAAGAACTAGTATCGAGTCCAATATATCTTATATAACTAATTAATAAATATATGAAATGATCTACCGTCTCTGTGTCTTAGTTGGAAGCTTTTCAGCTCAAACATATTCAAGAAAAAGAAAAGAAAGAGAGAAGAAGGGAAGGGATGCAAATCATCCGAGTATTATGAAGTTGATATGTTTTATAAATTGATCCTTTTCCATTAGACATGAAAAGTTTCATGTAGTTGACACACCTGAGTAATCATTTATGTACTCATTTTCCCCTGCTAGAATTCTCCTAAGATAGAAACAAAAAGTCTTGAAAAGAGAGCTTCTGTATTACTGTAACTATTTCTCTTGATAATCCTTTGTTATTGGAATAACTAGCAGAATTTCTTAAGGCTTATATAAATGACATCTATGTATCTATATATCTTATAATTATTGCTGCAGTTGTATCTTCCAGGATTTGGGAACCCATGGGACTTTCTATTTTATCTACAAGACCTTTTAAGCATTCACAAAGTTCTGCAACAAGGCCAACAAAGAACAGGAATAATCCTGCTGTCTCTGAAAATCGCATTGGTATAAAGCCTGGCAATCTGTCATCGACTTTGGAGAAGTTATATGTATGGGAGAAGAAACTTTACAAGGAGGTTAAGGTACATCACATTCTTTGAGAAATTAGTTACGATCCTTATCAACATCCCTTTTAAGACAAATTGTTATTTTTATTTGAAGCCCTATACTGGGGAGTCTTCTTCATGAAACTAAATCTACCAAGACAAGAAATTGTGATTTTCTATTAGAGTTGTTTAGGGTTGTCATGCAAACTGCATAACCTGATGTTTTTGCTGTTCTTTTTTGTTCCAATTATTTAGATGAACTTAAAAATTTTCTTCAAGGTAGGCTCTGTAGGTTAGTGAACATACTAGAGTGAGCTTTCAATGACCTTGAGCCAAATCTCAAGTTTGATGAGTATACTAAGCAACTGATACCAAATAAGTGGGGCTTCAGCTAAACACTGGATATCTTATTCCTGGGCTATTTGCTATAAGTTGTGTATGGGTTACTGTTGCAACCTAAGTCCGATAACAACAATGACGATGGCAGCAATGACAGCTCAACCACAGCCAAAACAATAACCATTTCATCCTCAGTCAAACTAATGTGCATCTTTTCTTTTTGAGTGCATGTTAACCTGCTAAGGGGAAATTGTCTATTTGAGATCCAATTTTATTTAACAATCACCAGTCCAGGCTGACCGGTGCCCTCATAAGCCCTTACAAATCAAGTTCAAAGTGAATTGAGCCCAAAAAAAAAACACGTACACACGCACACAAAAGGGTTTAAACTTCCATCGCCTAGTGGCTTTAACACATGAAAAAATATCTGCAACATCTAAGAATAGTCAGTTGAAGGATGGTATCATGGAAAAGTCTTAGGTAATTCTTAATTTTTGTAGCATGTCTTAGACTTAACCTGATTACAGTTTACTTTAGTTCTACCAATACAGAATCCTATTGGCAACATCTGTTATCATAACAAGAGCAAGCAATAAGAGGATAAAAGACAGAACACCCAAAAAATAAATATATAAAGTATACTATTAGTATTACCTATGATCAACCCCTCTGGACATATTGCCGTATTGATGGTATGAGCTGATATACCAGCTTTCTGGAACATGATAGAAATTTGAAAAATTGCCAAAACTTGACAAATGATTGTTTTTTTATTATATACAGATTTCTTAAACATATTTAGCATCATGGACTACTATTGTATTTGTAAGCAAAAGTAGTACATAACTATATGGATATATTTTGTTTACAAACACAAAGATAGGGTGTTTTTTATGTGACATCAGTCTATACATGACCATTGCCTTTTAGTTTAGATGTACTGGTATTATGTAATTCTAGGGTGTAAGCACTTGGCATTATTCCATAATAATTGCATCTTATTGTTCTGAGGTTTAACAAATTGGCAGCATTCTGTGTTAAGAAATTTCGTGGTTCATGCCATCAACTGTTGGACTTCATTTCCTGATAACACTGTTAAATTGAGTGAGTGATATCCTGATAACAGCAAGGATGATCTTTGTCATTACTTCTGCTGCAATACTTCCTCAACTTGTCCATGCACATCATTCTGTGACTATGATTTTTGGCTAATTAGTTTAATTACTTCATATTGCATTTGTGGATTATAATACAAAGTCTGGATCCTTTTATTTTCTGAAGGAATTTTAAATGTTGAAGGCAACAATCAACACATCTTTTAAAATTCCTTAGGTGGTTATGTTAGGATGAAGAAAAGCTACGACGCATTTATGAAAAGAAATGGAGGAGACTAAGACGTTTGGACAATCGAGGAGCAGAGTCCAATAAGATTGATTCCACTCGGGCATCAATAAAACAGTTGCAGCTGAAATTAAGCATTGTTATTAGGTCGGTGGATACCATTTCAAGTAGGATTCATAAGATAAGAGATGATGAGTTGCAGCCCCAACTTGTCGAATTAATCAAACGGTACGTAAGCTTGACAGAAATCTTTCTTCATCTACTTATCTTTATCTAAAAGTTTGTGATGCCCGATTGTGTGACAATTATATGCATCAGTTGCAGGTACTTTTCTTGTCTTATACATGTATACTATCCCATGTCTTGTTCTTTTAAATTTCATCTTTGATTTTAGTTAAACATGATCATTCATCATGCTGTGAATTATATATTGCAGTATAGAAATGACATTTGTTTATAAGAAAAGTGATTTTAAAGTTGATAAATTTTATAGATGCATCAGCAAATCAGATTGTGTTGTGAGTGTCATCATTCATGTATTATATCTCCAGCATCTGAGTAGCCAAGTACATTCAACCTTCTTAGACACTGATATGTGTCCAGCATATGTACAATAACATAGAAGTCTTAGAAAGTATCCAAGTATTTGGGTAGCCAAGCATTCACGATGCATCAGATACGGGTAGAAGTACCCATGAAAATAGTTTAAGTTTTCTGATTGTATAATTAATGGCATTTGCAGCTACATAGGCATTTTTTAATCCTCTAAATGTATTAACTAAAAACTCACTAGCATACTATAGGTAAGTAGGTTCCATGAACACTTTAAGAGAGCACTATGCACCGGGAAGACCACAAATCAATCTTTCAATCACACATTCGTTTCTTGTATTCTCAACACTTTCCCATGTGTTTTTCATATTATGCCACATTTTCTTGTTTGTATACCAACTTCTTGTATGCCAACTCTTTCCAGCATGTATTAAGAAGTTACTGAGGATCATCAAGTGAAAATGTTGTTTCCCACATTTTGAACTGCTGTGCGTATGGAACGTGAATAATATTCTTCATATGATTTCCTCTAGCTTCTACCTGTTTGTTGCGCACTTAGCCTTCTTGCTTCTATTTTCCATCTACAACAATAATAACAACCAAACCTTTATCTCAAATGTTTGAGCTCGGCTACATGAATCATATTTTTCCATTCCACTCTGTTACGAGTCATCTCTTCTGTTAAGTTAGTCTTAATCATATCATTCTTAATTACTGCTAACCAAGTCGTTCTAGGTCTACCTCTAGATCTCCTAGCCCCATTAACTCTAACATTATCGATTTTTCTAATCGGTACACTAAGGGGTCTCCGTTGTACATGACCAAACCGTCTTAATCTATTCTCTCATTTTATCTTCAATAGGCGCAACCTCTATTTTACTACAGATGTACTCATTTTTTATTCTATCTTTTAATGTATACCTACAAGACCATCGCAACATTCTCATTTCTGCTACACTCATTTTTTGAACATGTTGTTTTTTAATTGCCCAACATTCTAACCCATAAAGCATAGTTGATCTTATAACTGTTCTATATAATTTTTCCTTTTGTTTCATTGGTATTGTACGATCACATAAGACTCCCGAAGCACTTCTCCATTTCAACCATCCCGATTTGATTCGATGCACAACATCATTCTCTATTTTATTATCATGCCTTATGATTGATCCTAAATAGCAAAAATGATTAGTTTTAGGTATTTCTTGGCCATCAATATGTACCATAGGCTCTCTTCCTTTCCTAGATTCACTAAAAATACACTCCATATATTCTGTTTTTGTTCTACTAATTCTAAAACCTTTAGATTCAAGAGCTTGTCTTCACCTTTCTACTTTAGAAATAATGTCTCTTTAGTTTCATCAACTAATACTGTATCATCAGTAAATAACATACACCATGGGATTTTATCTTGAATGTGCTTAATAAGTTGGTCCATAACTAATGCAAAAAAATAAGGACTTAAAGTTGATCCTTAGTGATTTTATCCTGAATGTGCTTAATAAGTTGGTCCATAACTAATGTAAATAGGGATTTTATCCTGAATGTGCTTAATAAGTTGGTCCATAACTAATGCAAAAAAATAAGGACTTAAAGTCTTTGCTCAACTACCCTCTCCCAAAGTTTCATAGTATGACTTATGACTTTTATACCTTGATAATTTGAATAATTTTGTATACCCCTTTTATTCTTATATATCTGTATCAAAGTACTAATCCTCCATTCATCTGGCATTTTTTTCGTCTCGATAATAATTTTATTAAATAGTTTAGTTAACCATCCTAAGCCTTTATCTCCAAGATATTTCCAAACTTCAGTAGGGATATCATGTAGGCTCTTTCACTTTTTATTTTCTTTAAAGCATCTTTAACCTCGCTAATCCTAATTTTTCAATAATATCTATAGTTTCTATAATTCACTATATAGACAAAATCTCTATTTTGCTCACTTGTTTGGTTATCATTAAACAATTAATAAAAGTAACTCCTCTACCTCTCTTTTATTTCTCCGTCGGTCACTAGAACTCTTTGATCCTCACTTTTAATACATCTAATATTACTCAAATCTCTACTCTTCCTTTCTCTAATCTTAGCAAGCTTATGTATACTTTTCTCTCCCTCCTTAGATTCTACTTCTTTTAAATATTTTCATAAGCCTTGTATTTATTCTCACTAACCATTCTTTTTTGCTTCCTTCCTTACTAGTTTATATTTTTCTATGGTTTCCCTACTTTTACACTTTTGCCACTCTTTATATAAAGTTTTATTCTCTCTGATAACCTTTTGCACACTCTCATTCCACAACCAACTCTCCTTACCGTCTAATCTAGATTTTCCTAGTATATCTTTAGTCACTTTCTTAATATAAGAAGACATGTTATTCCACATAATATTAGTCTCATTATCTATGTTCCATATATCTTCTTTCATTATCTTATCTTTAAAATGTATTAAATTCTCTCCTTTTAAATTCCACAATTTAGTTCTTAGTCTCTTGTTCACGTTATCTACTTCACTTCTTAATAGATATGTCTAAGACCATCAATCTATATTGTGTATTCCACAATATTTTCTTATCTCTTAAAGTTTATATATATATCTACTGTTCCTCATCACTGTGCCTTCTTCTGTTTATCACAAGCAAGGAAGAATTATTGCCAAGCTGCTACTTTGTATACCAAAAAATTTGAGATCGATGCTTAATTAGCTTGTTTGATCTGGATGTCATGAATGTTTTGTATCTTGTAGATTGGTTGTATAAAAGCCATTTTAAAAGAAACAGGAAAGAGAAAGAATGAGTATTTACTCCTACTTAATGGTCGACATGCCATCAAGTAGTACTTGGTTAATTAATATTTTACTCTTATACAGTTGTACGAGATAACATATTAGATATAGACGTTCATTAGTTTTTTCTTTTTTCTTTTTTCAAAATTTATGCAGATTGATAAGAATGTGGAAGTCGATGTTGGAATGTCATCGGAAGCAGTTGCAGGCTATACTTGATAGTAAAACCCACAATCTCAGGGCTAAAACTGGGGTCCATGGACATATAGTCGCAAACGCCACCAAAGAACTGGAGATCCAACTTGTGAACTGGTGTTCTTGTTTCTATAACTGGATCAGCATCCAGAAATCTTATGTTGAAGCCTTAAATGGATGGCTCATGAAATGGCTTCCACAAGAAGAGGAAGAAACAGAAGATGGGATTCTACCTTTCTCCCCGAGCAGGATCAAAGCTCCTGTTGTTTTCGTCGTCTCGAATGATTGGAGTAATGCATTATTAAGGGTTTCAGAATCAGAAGTTATGACAGCAATGCATAATTTTGCTGTGCACGTGCACAATCTATGGGAAAGTCAAGATGAAGAGCAGCGTCTGAAACTGAAGGCAGAATTTTTGTCCAGAGATTATGACCAAAGGCTCAACACTTTGAAAAGGGATGGCAGGATACAAGGAAATAATCTAGATGTCGTCTCTGCAACCAATGCTGGCCAAGTTTACCAAGATGACACCAGGAAGGCATTAGAGCTGGCGAGAAAAAGATTGGAAGAGGAGAGAACCAAGCACAGGCAAATTGCGAAACAAGTGCAAGAGGCAGCTTCCTCTACCCTCGAAACTGGGTTGCTTCCAGTATTTGAAGCATTGAGGGGTTTTATTTCAGAAACAGTCGATGCGTATAAGGAACTTAGAATACCAAAAGAAGGCGATGGAGGTCCATAACTGCAGATATTTCAAGGGCTCTGAGGAATTCTTTGATTTTTGACATATCGAGGGAGAGTTACGGATATATACGGCATCCATTGATTAGTTATACGGGTGATTGGTTGGTTTATTACTTGCAGAGGATACATTATATAGGAGATTTGAAAGGGATATACGGGAATTAAGTATATTTACAGTCGATAAATACATTCGGCTGAAAAGAGGGGTCAAATGATTTTGAGTGGTTAAATTAGTAAGGAGGCAAGGTGAAAAAAAGTTTACAGAAAGTTTAGTTGCTAGGAACATTGGTGAAATTACCTCTGGTCAGTGATTTTTCGACTTAAAGATCAGTTGTTTCTCTTTTGATTATAGGAAAGATCAGGTAACAGCTAACTGTATTTAGCTTGATGATTCTTTTGTATAAAAAAAAATACATGTTCCCTTCAAAAAATTTTAGCCAAGATTAAGCTAAATTTTTGTGGTTACACTCCGCAGATTATCATTTTGTATTTATTTATTTGAGCTAATTGGAGATGGCGTAGATTAAATCAAATTGGCACATGCTGAAAAATTCTGGTCCCAGCATTTACTTGATGGGATGGCTATGGTTGTAGATGGTTATATTCACTCCGTCAAAGTTTATGATGTCAGAATGGAGAATTTATGACTTATGTCTTTTCTTTTCATTATTTGTAAATAGGAAGGTGAGCTGGGAGGAAAACTAGAGAAAGGGAGGATTTTAAAAATAACGGTTTTTTTATAGAGTGTCCATGGACACTCTATAATAAGAGAGGAGAAAGATAGAGAGAAATGAATTATACACAAAAAATTAATGCAAATCACGGGGGACTCATTAGCTATTCATTTCTCTCTATCTTTCTCATTTCTTATAGAGTGCCCGTGAACATTCTATAAAAAAACCGAAAAAAATAATAATTCACGGGTCCCTCAAACTCAACAAAAAGCACACAAAATTGACCCGTCTGTTTTACGCAAGAAAATAAAAAGCCACGCAGCCACAGAAGACAATGCTCCGCAACCTTCTCTGTTTTCCCACCCACGATCCACTATTTGTCATACAAAATTTTGACATAATTTTGATGGCGGCTCCTGATTACTCAACAAAAATATCTCGCAGATTTTTTGGGGAACATTTTTGTACAGTGCTCACCTTCGAAAAATCTCACATAGAAATGGTAACATTGTTAGGAATTATATCGATACAATCTTTGATCGCATCATCAGATTAAATATTGATTTTTTTTCCCAACGCGTCTCATGTAGGAGTACAACGTTGCGAATCATAAAGTAAACAATTGAAATCTTCAAATTATCTTCCTGCAATTCCCTTGTGTGAACACTGTGCAAAACATGACATACAGTACATTAATTTTTTTTCCACTACAGAAATCCTGGTTTTAAATACTACAGATTTTTTTTCGAATTACTACAGCATCACGCTTTTGTTACATTTTTTTCAAAAATACTACAGTATCCTCATGCGCTACAGTAATAGTGAACAGTTCGTTTCATATTTTGCTATAGTAATAATGTTACAGTAAAAAACTACTATAGTATGAATAGTAAATCTTAAATTCTCCCATTTGTATAGAGAAATAGACGATTCGAAACCTCCTTTTTTTTTTAAATGCTAGCGTTCTTATAAAATTTATACTCTCATCAAATTGAATCTTTATTGTATATAATATCTTGATGATTCTTCTGGTTAACGTTATTCTACGGATTAATCTTCTTTACTACCTACCCCCACAAAATGACATGTCATATGACACGTGGCAGTATCCAATTCGATTGCCACCTCATCCGGAGCCATGTCACCCCGGTCTTGTATCTCCTCCTCGAAAATCCTCGCACGCGGAGCATCAGCGGATCCCATGGACCATAAAACAAATCCGATCTCCATCCACGTATCGCAATAGCGAATCCTGGAGTACACGTGTCATCCGTATAATTCGTCCTGACGCCGCTTCGTGTTTCAAAATTTCCACCCGATCTACAACAGGCTCATTTTCCTCCGCTGGCCTATATAAAGTCGTCGGCGTTTCTTCACAAGCGAACAGTCTGAGCTCTGGACTCTCTCGCTCTTCCACCCCCTCTGATGGCGGTCAAATCTAGGGTTTGGATCTCTTCGATTTTTCTCGCTTTATTCGTTTTTTCTCCGGTTTCTTCAGTTAGGGTAGAGGAGGGGGCCGAAGCTAAGCAGGAGGATTCGTCGGTTCTCACGCTCGACGCGTCGAACTTCGACGAGGCGATCGCTAAGCATCCCTTCGTCGTCGTTGAATTCTACGCCCCTTGGTAATTTCTTGTTCTTTGATGTTTGATTTGGAGTCGTGATCGCTTGATTGTGTTTTTGGGGAGCAGATCTCTGCTTAAGTTCATTTAGGGCTTACTCTACGTGGATCAAAGCTGGCTCTTTGATGATATGATTTTAAGGATTTTAAAATTTTGATGGAAATATTCGCTAGAAGATGGTGGCATGTGGTGTTATTGTTGTTTGTCACTTCTATTTAATGATGGAAGAAATAAGAACAAGGTTCAGCAACTTAATTTTCGCTTACTTCTACTGAATTATGGAAATTTTTAGGGATAATACTGAACGTTTACGTGGTCGTGGGTTTACAGTGTGGTCACAAGAAGCTTACATGGATCACCCCAAAAAATGATGAGAATAATATTAGTTTGTAAGAATTAAAAACTTTGCGTTGGTTTCTTAGTTTTTTTTTTCTTTTTTCTTTTTAATTTTTCAAGAATCGGGAATCCCATTGCAAATATACTATTATCTTATCATGCATGTCTAAGATGATGCTTTTATGGAGCATTCTAACATACATAATAAGAAAGGTATGTTATGAATTGAAACTTTACTTGAAGTACCCGTTTTATGTTGTCTCGTGTTGGCAACTGATTTCATATTAGGAAAAGGAAGACTTTGTATGTTTCCAAGTCACTGAAGTTTGCTTTTTTTATTTGTCATTGCATCTTGTTTTGTATGTTTTTCTTCTGTTGAGGAATGGGGATGGTATAGACATATGCACGTACTAGAACTAGATCATGACTCAGTAGCTTGACATGATATATAGCATCTATTATCAATGTTTCTTTATCTCTTGGGGACGGTATGAAGGGGCATGATCTTCTTCTTTGTTTTAATCGGAATGGGAGCATTGGGCTGTTGAATCAGGAGAATTAGATCCCATGTAAGAAGCTTTCATGGTGTCTAGTTGTGTGTCTGTAGAACCGAGTATTAAAACATGCAGTTAGCATTGATATATTGGAACTTATGAACAGCAGTTGATGAATGGCCTTTGCATTATTCTGTGGCTACAGCTATAATGTGAGTGAGAAACTACACATTACTAACTATATGTTACATTCCTAATTTGACAGGTGTGGACACTGTAAGAATCTGGCTCCTGAGGTAAGAATTTAAGAAAACAAGCTACAGTACCTATAGTTCCGTTGATATATGTTGACTACACGTTACTATTTTGCTTCTTTTATTTGTTTTGGATTCCTAAAAGTTTTTAGTATTTTTTCCTTGTAGTATGAGAAAGCTGCATCAGTGCTGAGTAAGCATGACCCTCCAGTTGTTCTTGCTAAAGTTGATGCTAATGACGAAGTCAATAGAGAGCTTGCCACTAAGTATGAAGTGAGCGGCTTCCCCACACTAAAGATCTTTAGGAATGAGGGAAAGAACATCCAAGAGTACAAAGGTCCTAGGGATGCTGATGGCATAGTTGAATACTTGAAGAAGCAAGTTGGTCCTGCTTCTGCTGAGGTCAAATCCTCGGATGATGTTGCGAACCTCATCAATGATAAGAAAGTTATTATTGTAAGTTCTCAATTTGTGCTCCCTTCCTTTCTCAGTTATTTTTTCTCTGATTTTCTCAATAGCTCGTCGCAAGCTCTCAAATCCTATAACTGTTATTGTAGGTGGGGATTTTCCCTGAATTTTCTGGTCAGGAGTTTGAGAACTTCATGTCAGTTGCAGATAAATTGCGTTCTGAATATGAGTTCATCCATTTATCGGATGCTAAGCTCCTTCCTCACGGGGATTCATCTGTTAAGGGACCCGTAGTTAGATTACTCAAGCCCTTTGATGAACTTTCTGTTGATTCTCAGGTACTACTAACATACCTGTTTCAATACTCCATTCCTGTTTACAAATTGGCAGATACATATGCTTTGCAAATTTCTACAAAAAACATGTATTGGCATCTACAGCAAGCATATGTGTCTATATACTGGGGACATGATTCTTCTCTTTTGATTCATAGCCTAAGCAGTGGATCCATTATGTTTTCCCCCTTTTTTGCAGGATTTTAATGTGGAAGCATTAGAAAACTTCATTGAAGTTGCTAGTGTGCCTATTATCACAACTTTTAACAAGGATCCCGCCAACCACCCTTTTGTCATTAAATTCTTCAACAGCGACAATTCCAAAGTAAGAATTGATTTCCCCCTTCTCTCCTCTCTGCACAAGCGGAATTGCTAAACAATATCACTGTTTTCCTTTCGTGTCTATGTTATATCTGTTACAGAGTCCATGTACAACATCGCATATTTAGAAATTGACATGGAAAACATGTTAACCATTCTCTCTTTTCCATGTCCTTGCATGTGACATGAAATCATGTTTCCTCAAGTGTTTTTTATAATTTCTTAATAATCTTTTCCATGTGCTGCTGACATGCCTGCAAATTGATGGGACTGTGTCCTTACTGACAAATTAGCCACAAGATGCATTTATAATACATTTCCCACTAAGATTTCAGTGCAAAAATATTGTTGTTGAATCACATTAGTGGAGGGGTTATCCTCTTTCACTTTGCAAACAACATTTTCAGTCTGAAGAGTTATTGGCTATGAAATTGCTAAGTTATCAGATTTTAGTCATTATCCAGTACACTTATTGTTAATATTCAATCAGTATCAGTATTCAACTCATTCATCTGATCACAATATCTTGAAGAAGCTCTTGATATTATTTATGGCCAGAAGTTTCTTTAGACTACTTGTTCATGCTGAAAGCTAATCATTTCTAGCATCAATATTTATTACTGGCTTTCCTTATATTTAGGAACTAAATGCAACTACAGGTTTATATCATTTCATATGAGTCCTCCTGTACTTGAAACCTGATAACTTGAACTACCAAACCTCATTTCTCATAGGACACATGGAATATCATTGCAGCCCATTGCATAGTAGCTCTCTCCTGAACAATTAAAAATTAGTGTCATTTTGATAGAATGATTTTGGATTGCAATCTGAACAGTTGATACTTCCCTTTCATGTTCTTATTTACTTTCATCTTGTGATGCATAGGCTATGCTATTTGTGAACTTCAGCAGTGAGCAATTTGATGCCCTGAAGTCTAAGTACCACGAAGTTGCCTCGGCCTTCAAAGGCAAAGGCATAAGCTTTCTGATTGGTGATCTTGATGCCAGTCAAGGTGCTTTCCAGGTATTCTCCCTGTTCTCATTTTGACTTACCTACATCCTAACATTCAGTTAGATTGTCCTTAAATAAGCTTTATTAATGTGCAAACAGTATTTCGGCCTTAAAGAAGATGACGCGCCTCTTGTCCTCATACAAGAACATGATGGGACAAAATATTTTAAACCAACTGTGGAACCTGATCAGATTGTCGCTTGGTTGAATGATTACCAGGTATCTTAAGTCCTATCTTCAAATAAATGTTTCTGGGCTATTACTTGTTATATAAGGAATCTGTTTCTGGTCTTCTGACATGATATATTTGTCCAGGAGGGCCGCTTGAAACCGTTCAGAAAATCTGAACCAATTCCTGAGGTTAATAATGAACCTGTCAAGGTGGTTGTTGCTGACAATCTGCATGATGTGGTTAACTCTGGGAAAAATGGTTTGTTTCTCTTTTCATTTGTTTGCTTATGTCTTTTATATATATTACACATGTGGATCCATCAGTCTCTGCTGTTCCTTTGACGCTGAATTCTTCAAATAAAATTAAATTAAATTAAATAATTGTGTGACAATTGTCGATTTAAATCTCCTTTGAAATGTCTGTTGTGTTGCTTCTTGATATGCTAGTTTTTACATATATCAAGGTATTTTATGTGGGCAGACAAGAAGAATACATTATCTGATACATGGACCTTCTTTATTATCTTTATTATTATTTTTTTGGTATCCTGAAATGCAATTGGATAATCAGGTTTCCCAAAAAAAAGTTCAATCATTTAGTGTCACATGTTTCATCTGTTACTTTTTTTTCGTTGCCATTTTATCACCTTAAACTTGTTTAAGTATACTTTTCTGAAGGTCTTTTCCCCCTTTGAATGCTACTCTCAGAGGACCTTGTCACTGATCCTATTCTATTACCATGAGTTTTATCATGGAAGATGAATTTATATTTAATGAAAATATAGTGTTATCCACAAGTCCTTTATAAGTTGTTTTCTGAACCAGACATTGTTTCTTTACCGCTCTTGACGTGTTCTGATGATATTTACATACACTTATTCTCTCTCTTTTTTCTTACGTTGATAGTTCTACTTGAGTTTTATGCACCTTGGTGTGGACACTGTAAGAAGCTGGCTCCAATCTTGGATGAAGTAGCTGTCTCGTTTGAGAAGGATACTGATGTGGTCATTGCAAAGATGGTAATTCTCCTTTGGCCCAAGTCTAGAACTAACCAGTTGACAACTGCACGTGCATTATCTAATAGGGAAATGTGCTTGCGTCTCTTTACATGGTATATGTATGCATGCATGCAATTTACTTTATGTCACCATGGCATTTAGGAAGACCAAATTCAGAACAGAACTCATAGGAGTGAATAGGATTAGTAAACAACTTTTCCACCTTATCTTTTATCATCTCTTATTGCTAGTACTTATACAGAAGAAACTTATACATGAGATATAAGTAGGAAGTTAGATGAGTCCTACTTCTTAAGCCTAAGCAAAAGAAAAGAGGTAAATATGAGATGAGGAGATATAGCCAGGGAAGAATTAAAAAATAAAAGGTAAACGTAATATGAAATGCTGCAATGCATCCAGTGAAGAAAATCTATACAAATGTAAACATAATAGGAGATGTTGCTACAAGTCCGCTCCCCTGCTGCACGGTTTTATAAGCATCCTACACAGATAATTTTTTATGGCTTGCTTTCTTGACCTGCTTATTAAGACCTTACATTTCCCCTTTTCCTCATCTGGAACAGTTTGGAGAAACCTCCAGTTTGTAGCCAAATGCACCGTAAAAAGTAACGAATCTACACTTTAGAAAACTGTAATAATGGAAGCAGTAACAGTTTAAAATATCAAAATCAAACCTTGTTATTTTCTAATTTTTAATAGATTGTTTAGATGCATTTGTTCATCTTCAAAAGAGATTCAGACAGCTCTGCATTGCTCTACTCTGTTTTTGCACAAAATTCTTCTTATCAGTGATGATTTGTTTTTTGGGATAATTAGTGATGATAATAATCTCTTTGTTCTTGACATTTATCCACGTTTTTTGTTTTCTAGGATGCTACTGCAAATGATATCCCAGGTGATTTCGATGTTAAAGGATATCCAACTATCTACTTCTCTTCCGCTAGTGGAAAGGTTATGCAATATGAAGGAGGTAGAACAGCGGAGGACATCATTAATTACATAACGGAGAACAAGGACTCCGCTGCTTCATCAGAAGCGCCAGTTCAGTCCGAACAAGAAAAAGAATTGAAAGATGAACTGTGATCGAGGTACTAACTTGTCGGTGTTCCCTATTTACTGCTACTATGATTAGCATCTATTTGACTGGATAATCCCTTTGTTTGTTGCAGAAATATAAGGGAACTTTGGGGAGGATATGAAGCAGCTTTTGAGGTTGATCTTCCAATTTTCTCGCATATCCTCGGCACTCTACGATGTGTATCTTAGTGTATTGTAACATTTTAAAATAGATTTGGAACCGGGAGCAGCGATCCTCCCATTCTAGAGACTTTCGTCCTTATCATAATAAAGTTTCATGAGCAGTAGCACTTTCGTTGAGTTCGATCGTCAGTGCAGCTGCATGTGATATCCGAATTTTGAAGTTGCATTCTCATCATCGGTAATAATATTGGTTTTTGTGAAGCTACTTTGGCTCAGTATCAACAGCAGCTCAGATTGAAGTCTTCAAAGGAACAATTTCAACTCTATACGCGCTCACAAACCGCAGATTAAAATCAAACCGAACAATTGCGACTAGCACCGCACGAAACAATTATCACACCAGTACTTGTATGCGAGTGTGTAGGGCCTGTTTGGTTGGGGCTGTGTTTACACTTTTACCCTGTTTGGTTGTGCGAGGAGAAGGCTGACGTGGCCTTAAAAAAAACCTAGCTGGCAGCTTCTATGCAATTCCCTCCACCTCCTCCTGTTTTGGTTTGGTATTACTGTAGCTGTCGGCCCCTCACCAATCACGGGCCGTTCTGATAAGATTCCTACTCCAATATCATTATGATTCAGCCATTTTGAGCCAAACAAAAGGGAAAATGTTAGTTGTTGCGTCATGTATGCGTACATAGCTATGCAATATTTCAGCAGCCAAGACGTTGGCGTTGGACCTAGCTTTGAATTATTCACCCTTGATCTCTATTTGCGACGTACGACATTAATACAGCCTGCGTTGGAGGCATGTCGCAATACAAAAAACTACTTAAATACAACAGCAGCCAACCATACACAAATAATTTACGCACAACATCACAGAATCTCAGAACTTTTTAACGAAAGTCAAAGATCTACAAACACTAGAATGAAATATTAGAATGAACGTATCTCTACAATAAATCAATAAGGTGATATTACATTTGCTACAGGGGGGGCATAAGAACCGTGATCATATGAATAGCCCAAGCCAAAACCACTTGAATCAATTGAAACATATAACCCAAAAGCCTCAAATTGCTCTATCTAATATAACAAAAAAATAACGAGGCAATAAGGAAACAATGATGAGGGACTTATAATGAACTTCCAAGGAGAGCAGGACCCTCCACACTCTGATGTACACGAGAAGGAACCCCCAATTCATCCCTTCAAAAACACACCATTTATCATCTCAGGGACTGCGTCAGAAGATTTCGCTTGTCCTCTGCTCTGTGCCGGAAAAGTTTGGCAATCTTGCGCCTCTCACAATCCTGTGGACAAAAATCTTTTAGAATTATTGGGGAATGTATTTCTTTGAAAGAGGGGCAACAGTTAGTTACAGACCTTGAACATATTCAAATGAAAAGTTTTCCCAGGATTCATCCTTCTAAGCTTCAGATACGTGTAAGCAAAGCTCAGCTGATCGCGAGGAGTAAAATGATCTACCTCATTGTACCATAGACAAGAAAACAAATTGGACATCGGTGTGTGCGCTCTTACAATGAACGAACCTTCAGGAACATCTGTCCATAATTAAAACAAAATAATTGAGTTGAGGGGGGGAAAGTATGTATTATCTTCAAAACACGCTAAAAGTGATTAAAGTTTCTTACAGCTTGGAAGTAGTTTCTTAGGATCAGAAGGGTCAAATCTTGTTAATCCATCAGCCCGATAGAATTCAAACTGTTCATCGATGACAGTATAATTGTACTTGTTTAGTTTCTTATTTTGTGCCACCTCTTCCCAAACACAATGCCGATCATAGTGATTGGAAATGGCATACTCGTGACCTTTCCTCCAGAGAAAGTATTCTAAGATGAGGTAAGGATCATTTTGAAGTCGCAATTTGCTATCAAGCCAGATTGAATACCTGATTTAAGTGTAAGTGCAAAAGTCAGAGATATGTCGTAAGCCAAATCCATAATATAATACTAGTATTAGAGGAAAGCAGTGGTTCCTTTTAGATATTCATGAGTAATGTATTCGTTATGTCAAGATGAGAATTTGATGTCAAGATCAGTACACGCAAGGTGTAATAAGGTAACCACAACTATAGATCATTCACCTCATTATTTTAGTAGTATTTTTCTTACCTTGCAGAAGGAAAGAGTCGATGAGTCAAAAGCTTGGGAATTTTCCCAACTCTTCGCATGTCAGAAGAAGGTAGGTTTTTAACCACTACAATCCTCCACAAACCGATGAATCCCATGCTGTCCATTTTCTGGCCTTCCGATGCTAACGTCTGCAATGTACTTTCATCCATGAACATAACGAAGCACACACTTTTTCTCGACTGGCGTGTGATCTGCCACAAATTTGAATGTAACAAACAACTCAGCAACCAATAGCAGGACACATGTTACATTCTCCTGAATGAGGATATATTTGTCATAATAAATTTCAGCGACCCATTCTGGAGTTAAAATAAGAGGAGGTAATATTTTCCTTAATAAAGAATATAGCAATCACTTAATAAATAACAAAAAATATAGCAGTTTTACTGACGTGAGCACTGTGTCATGGTTTCAAAATAGGACCTTCGACATAACATAGGAACAGACTGATCGGATAGAAGAGCAAGCAAGCCCGAGTCAAACCTAAAACTGATTACTTTCAAAGGTCAACAGATTTATGCCATTCTGCCCTGCAAATATGAGTGTCATAATTATTGCAATGCTGAGTATCAGGTCATTTAGAACATCTAGCCAGATTATAGGAAAGTTTTGAGTACTTGATATTTACCAAATAGAAGAGAGTTAAAGAAATAGGTACACAGTACCACTGTACTACCAAGGTGTTGTAGGTAATTTTACACCTGTTTGACTTAGATATATGGGGAAATTTTCTATTATGCTCAAGTCAAATGATAGTCATAGAGACAAATTATATAACACACAAAACTTCAACAATTTTCTAATCAGGGGACCTATGAATTTTTATGCAGATTGTTGAGTGCTAACCTTATGTAATCCCACAAGAAACCTAAATATATAAGCAGGAATACATTCAGAGAAAAACAGCCATTAAAAAATTTAAGGTTTCTGTTAGAAAAAAAAAGGCAAGCTAACAGGCATCTAAATAGCTTATTGTTATGGTTCACTGGTGCAAACCCCCAAATAATCATTACATAACAGCAGTTAACCATAATGAATTATAGGGGCATTCGACATCTTATCAGCTATTGTCAAGCTTGCCCATGCATAACTTCAACTAAACATGGGATGAAGTGTTGGTCACTTGGCCTTAACTGAGTCTATTCATGAATTGATCAGTGGTAACCAAGACTGTTATTTGAAAATGATTAATAGGCTTTCACAACTATCGTCTTTGCCAGAAACATGCGGAATCAGGGGCGGATCCAGAAGTTTTGTTCAGGTTAGGCATTAACATCAAACAAAATTTTAAAATTAGAGTATTTCGTTTTATAGAAAAAGTAAAGTACTAGTTTTAATGTAAACACAAATATGTAAATCAAATTCATACCCAAAATAGAAGTGAATTGTACACTACTACTATAAGTATGTTATAATTTAAGCTTCATGTGAGTATAACTTTCTCCAAAGTTCAGGTTGGGCACTTGCCCAACCTGAACTACACGTGGATCCGTCGCAGTGCAGAATGATTCTGCTGTATAACTCGAGCTTTTAAGCTGGTGAGTTATGTCCACTGCCTTTAACTCAATCAATGTTTAACACATCAGATCGGCTTAGGTTCCTTTTGAAAATTCCTTGGGGGAAAAAAAACAGATTCAACTCCATTAATAGAATCAAGTCCCCCATCTAATTTATCCAGCAACAGGCTAACTCAACGATTATAAATTTCTTGAGGAGAGGCCATTAGGTCCAAAAACTGAATTAAAGTGAAGATAAAGACTATGTGAAATTGGCATCTTTATCACAGAACATAGGACCACCTACTAATGGAAGTAGAAACAATTAAAACCTATGATGTATACTTTTAAATCAAATCACTAATCAGAATATCCAGAAAATATAGAGAAGAACAGCAGAAAGCCTACAATAACTATGTTCTAAGAAATCTTGATCACAGCACATGATTACTCTGATAATACCAGCAATTTCAATTTCCTGATGCAGTTCAAAAAGCCCGTCCCATCAGGCATATTTGAATGTAAACATATCATATATTGTATAACACAGAAACATAGAATCTAAAAGAAGACTAAAATGTACAAGATGAAAAAAAATAAATCAATCATACTCTTGAAATAAGGTCACAGTTCTCAGCCCTTATATTCTAGATTAGGAGAGAGAGAGAGAGTTACCACTTTGTAATAGGGCGACCTCAAATGATCAGAGTTTCCAAAGATGCAAGACGATACAGCTATGTGACAACTGCTCATGTATTTCACATCATCTTCTGCAAGATCGAATCCAGTACTTGAATAACCCTTGGGGCCTTTAATAAAGCCACAGTTAATCCTCTGGTCACGCGCATAAAAAGAGTCCTCTCTTTCTTGAGGAGTCATATGACCAGCAAATCTCGGTTCCCAGTTACTTGCTCCACTGGGCCTTCCTTCTACTTGTGTATACTGCAATGAAAATCTTGAAAATTTCTTGTTTTCTAGAGGCTCTATTAGTTGCTCTGTAGAGTTTAGGAACTTCATCTCACAAGATGAACCTGACAAAAGTTATAAGAACAAATTTCAGCTCATTCTGCAGCCATAAACAAGATACAAGATCCTCATCACCTATCTATCACCTCTTACATGCATGGCGGCACGAGCTTATCTTTTACACATACATACGTAGTAAAAAAATGTTGGAGTAGCAAAATAGTAGTTATATTGGTACTTGTCCCGTTATGTGTCTATCTCCGTATAATGCCATTAAACCATTACCTGTTTCCCTTTGAGCAACTTTAGAATCTGAAGTATTATTGTGCTAGCCAAAACTCTTATATGATTTTTAGCTTGTATTAATGTCACCTGATGTTCCTGACTTCTACTTCAAAATTTACATTGTAGTGCACAATTTTCTCTGCAGATAATGTGTCGCAGATTTGACCCAAGTCTTGAATAATTAAATATAGGGATAAGCACACACTTGGTATGCAACTTAACAAACACTCAACTTACTTAAAAATGAGTTAGTGCAAGGGTTTTGCATCTCGATGGTGAGTCAGAGTGACGTTAAAACCTCTTTAAATACATGGATTTGATTAACCAAGGTTCCTACAAATTGGCAAACTATTAAATCATTAGCAGCTAAGATTGACTGCACACGGACATAGTGATCTGCTTTCAGGATTTTTTTCATAAGGTACTATTGAAAAAGGTTACGGGAATGTGATTTTGTGATATCAAATACTAGGTACCAGAAGGAGTCAACACTTCAAAAGTTATCGGAAGACTATCGGTACTATTCTTCATTAAGATTCAAAAAGTGGAGGGCAACAACTAAAACGACTCATGTGATGGATTGATGTAGTATTTAGTCCAAATTACACGCTCGAGCCTTACTGGTAGTTTTTGGTTGTAAAGAACATCATAGAATGTTCAAGGTATAAATAATGGCATTCACTTAAACATATATCGTTACTAGATAAGACGCCTTTCCTGAAGTTCAAACCATCATTATTTATCATGAGAAGCAAGGGTGATATGAATTTACAACACAAAATTCAAATTTGATAATAAACTGCTGTAAACTGGATTGAATATCTCACCAGGAGATCTATGGTGCCTCGGCTTTTTCTTCGATTTCGAGCTCTTCTTCGAACCTGAACCCTTATCCCCCTTATTTCTACTCCCACTACCGTTCCCACTTATAGCAGCCTCAGAAGAATCATTCTCTTCCACATTAACCTTCATATCTTCATGATGTTCTTCACCGTCAACATTACCAAGTTTCCTACCACCACCATCTCCATCAGCATCATCATGCTCATGCTCATGCTCCTCGTCATCATGATCGTCCTGGACATCGATCCCATCATCGTACTCATCATCCAACCCAACATCTTCACCCGCCAACGAAGCTTCATACTTCTCATTATACGAATCCAGTTCCTTTCTCCCTCCTTCATTATACAGTCCACCACTACCGCTTCCGCTCTTTCCCCTCACCTTTTCACTAACCACCCCGATATTTTTATCTATTTTCTCAATTTTATGCCCTAGAACATCCTCCTCATCATAATCCTGATCTCTCCTTCGATCGTCCTTATCCCAATACCTCGAATCTCGCCCAACCCCACCCGATCCATGCCCAAACCTAAGCTCCTTCGAGTACAACGACCGATTCCGGTCGAATCCAAGCCCCGATCCGCTCCTCTCACCTCCATCTACAAAAAAATAAGGACAGTCTCAGAACTCGAGTTAGGGTTTCCGCTCTCAAAAAGAATCGATTCTAACCTTTAGATCTCGAGAGGCGGCTGAAGGCGAAGAGAGTGATCGAGAGGCCTAGGGTTAGGGTTACGGCGA